AGCTTCCTTCAGACATAGCTAGCCATGTGTTTTGGACCACTCCTGTTTAAGAAAGAGAAAGCTATGGGTGTCTTAAAGTGTATGGGATTAGTGCTAAAGTTCCTTAGACTTGTGGCCTGTAGTTTGAGACATCGTGACAGTTAGAAATTCCTTTATTAGCTCCTACTTGTTTCTCCCCCACCCCTATAGTGTTTGCAATTGCCTTTTAACCTTTTGCTTGACAGCTATAAAACTATGAAAGTAACCATATGAAACAAAACTTTTTAAAGGTTGAAGAGCGTACAGACTGTGAGTGCCATGGGAGTTACGCTCCAGCTTACAAATACTGCCAGTCCCTAAACTTGGATATTGAATGTGAGGATTCTCTAGGATATAATTAGAATGTTTATTTCTAAATCAAAAAGAGTCATGTTGATTCATGCTCCTGCCTGAGCAACTGTTTTGTTGTTGTTGATGTAAAACTACCACATCACATTGAGAATGGGTAGAGATGGGCACAAACTACTGGCTTGGTGGTTCGTGCTGGTTCGTTTACCAATTGAACTAGTGTTCGGTGTTTCCCAATCCCGCCTCCTCTAGCAGGTGCCCACTCAGAGGCAGTGGCTAGAGGGGGCGGAGCAGTGAAGCCAGGACACTGCCTCTGAGTGGCTACCTGCTGGAGGAGGCAGAGCTGGGAAGTGCTGAACACCTGTTCGGCTGATGAGCAAACCGGTGCAAGCCACCAAACCAGCAGTCCATGCCCATCTCTGGTAATAGGTTCTGAGGCAGACAGTGCATCTGTTGAATGTGGAACCTCTTTATGCAACTGGCATAATGTAGAAAATGCATATAGGAGAGATGTGTTAGAATGACAACAGGCCAATGAGTTATTGGAGGCTAAAATGGCTGTTGCATTTGCACTTGTATCACTATACATTGAGAGTTGAACATATGGAGGTGGTGTTGGCATTTCCTCCTTGCAGTCCCTAGAAAAGAGGTATGATAGCTTTTTCAGAACTGTATTGTGTCAGAATGCAGTTGCGAGATTTTTATGTTTGAATGTTTATCCATACCTGATACCCCTGGTGTGTAGGAAGCTAACATAGCAAATAGAAGGCTAGATGGGTACACTTTCCCCTGGGTTGCTAGCATCGTTCTGTCTCTCTTTCTCTCTCTGACTGTCTGTTTGATTTTTTGGTTTTGGCAACGCATATCTGTCTTTGGCTCTGGATTGGCAATAAAATACACATTGGAATTATTAAGACTTGTTAATAATAATAACTGATAAAATAGCTTCCATAAAACGGGTTAGTGTTTGAATGCTCATATCTTTTCCATTTAAGTCTAAAGAATATGGGAGGGATTTCTTACCTCTTCTGGATGGCTTGCTCTCGAGATGTTTTAGCATTTCCAGCACTGAGGTCTATGCCTGGTGACTAAGTTAGCAGTTATGCCAGAAAATTAGGTTTGTGTGTTTCCTCTAGCATTGCCTTTTTTGGTAATGAAATGCAGATATAGCTCAGCATCTCCAGACTGTATCACTTCATACGTATTGGAATCTTGTTTGCAATTTTTTTAAAAAGGGGGGATATTTTTCATTAAGCAGGGGCTGAAACACTTTGAAACATTGGCTGTGCCTACTGACTGCCACAAGGAAAAGTCTCTTAAATACCCACCTAGCCACCTACCCCAATATGAACAAATGCAGGCTTTCCTTGTCTCCTTATTTTCTGTAGTTATTTACCGGTAACTAAATACAGGCTGAAGATTCTTGAAGCCACCAATGAAGCACAAGCTCCTTGTCACTGAATAGCTAAGATACATAAAGGCAGATGGAGCCTCTAATGCCATGTTCACAGTGGGGCTAGCGGGAGGACATGTAACAGAGCCCTTTTATTTGTTTATATTGTATTTTATTGCTTGACACTTGTTAAAAATGCCTTTTATTTTATTGCATTGCATTTAAAATATTTTTACCCCACGTTTCTTCTTAAAAAGAACCCAAGGAAGCTTACATTAGTAAAAGACAAGAGAAAAGCTAGGAACAAAAGTATGGAAATCTTTTAAAAGGAACAAACAAATACCACACTAAAATAGTAAACCAAATCAACACCGAAGACACATTCAATGCAACAAGGCACAACATTTGATTTTAAAAAGCCCCTCTCAGACAACCAATTGCTAAGGGAAAGCCTGCCTGAAGAGAAAGGTTTTCCTCTGCTTGCAGGACAGCAAAGATGGTGCTGGACTGGCCTCCGGTGGGAGGGAGTTCCACAGTCTGGGAGCAGCATCAAAAAAGGCCCTCTCCTGTTTTCACACCAAAATCATATAGGGATGCTTTCTAAGAAAGCAATTTGCTGATTATAATCCCTTGTTACAAGATCACTGTAATTTTCATTCTTAGTGCTGTGTTAGCATCAGCAGATTTGTTACGTTTTAAGGGTCAGATCATCCTTCCGCACTATTAGAGAGCAGGCCAGGTAGGTGGGGCTCGTCAGCCATGGAAGGCAGCCCATCTAGGAGAAGGAAAACTCCGATTTCAAACCTCCACTGCCTTGTGGCTATATCCACTCATGGAAAAGGCTTCAGGAGTTAACCTCGAGGCAAAATCCGGAGCTGGAGTCCCGAAGGCAGTTCGTGTCATTCTGCCAACTCCTGCGATATTGCTGGAACCAGTTTTATTGGCTCTTGCCTTTCCATCGGACCATTTCAGCAATGTGGAGAGGGGGGATCTGCTGCTTGGGTAACAGCCTATCCTCCATATTACCTTACCCGGGCTTCATGGTCTGGAGAGGACCCTCCTCGATTCAGAGCATGTTACCATAGTCTCTCGAGACTGAAGGATGCCTATGCCATGCCATTTGTTACCTTCCTATCCTTTTTAAAAGAGATCTTAAACCATGCCTTCCTCTTAGATTTGAGCCATTTAATTTTTAATACAGTACTGTCCTGAGTCACTGAAATATGTCCCACTTGCACTGAAACCGTGTGATGTGGGTCGTTAATGTTAGACCTGTTTTATAAGACCTTAGTCTGGTCTGCTTCCAGGTCATCCCATCTTGGCTCCAAAACAAACAGTTCTGAATGATGCATTTGTTTTGGTGCCATTCTAGAGAGTATGTTTTAAATTATAATGTGAAAGCAGTGCTTTTATTATGCACATGGCTGCTTCTGTTTACAGCAAGGCCCTTCGTTCTGTTTTTTTTAACCTTGTGAAACATCCCACCACCACCACACATCAAGTTCAGGTGCTGATGACTGATGATGGTGATATAGACATCAGTGGCTTGAATGTGTTTGTGGCCCTAATTGATAAACTAATGTGGTTTCGTTGTTTATAGTAAATCTCCTAACAGTTTGAGATATGCTGTAGTATTATTTCCTTAGATCCCATGATTGCCAAACGTGGGGTCCCTGATGTTGTTGATTTGACAGGTGCCCCATGGCGCAGTGATTAAACTGCTGTAATGCAGCCAAAATGGTGCTCATGATCCAGGGTTCAATCCCAGGTAGCCGGCTCAAGGTTGACTCAACCTTCTATCCTTCCGAGGTGGGTAAAATAAGTACCCAGCTCGCTTGGGGGGGGCAATGTGTAGCCTGCATAATTAACTTGTAAAATGCCCCAAGAGTGCTTGAAGTGCGATGGGGCGGTATATAAGCAGCACACTTTGCTTTTGCTTTTAACATTCCTATAATCCCCATTCATAGACCCTCCTTTTTTAGAAGCAGTGGGAGTGGTAGATTAGCAACATCTGCAGACCTGCAAGTGTCACAGCAAAGGGAGGCTTATGGCCACTGTACCTCTGTTCAAATTAACTTTCTTTCAACCAAGCAGATACAAAACAGACTTCATTAACATCCATGGCATTGTTGACAGTTCTTCTGTTGGTACATTTGCTGTTCTATGTATTAAAAGTCTGGAGGAAGACCTCTGCAATGGCTACTGCCTGCTTGTGGAACTCCATGCTCAAAAAGGACGACTGAGCCCTCTTTCCCCTTGCGTTTTGATGACTCTCTTTATAATTTTTATGTTCAGGCATTATTTGAAAGTCTCAGCAGAGCAGGACAACAGTTATCCACCCCAGCCAGTTTTAAAAATCTATTTAAATATTTTAAAGCAGTCTGCGGCAGTGTGATGTGTGTTATCTCGAAAGCTGTGTTCTTACCAAAAAAAGAGAGTGAAAAATAATAATAAATAATAAAGAAATAATTGAAACTCCAACTTAATTTTCTACGGTTCGGTTTGAGTTTCACCTGTCTGGAGTTCAGCAATGTTTATAGGGCCAAACAGTGTATCTGCATTCACTTTTGAGAACTAGGTGGTTCTGAAATGGAGAAGGTGAATGAACATTGTACATGAGTTCCCCACTTAGATCAACAAAGTATTTTGTTCTGATTGAGTACTCGTCAAAATGTTACAAGACAAAATGGTAAGGACCATTCTGTGTTTTGCGTCTTCAGTCAGAAGAATGTGGTCTGAATCATTTGCACTGCTGCCTATTTTGGTTTACAGTGCCCACTGTGTGGCTGATTTTTACAGTCATGGTTCTCTCTCTAGGAAAGAAGGATGGTAATTCTACCGATAATTACTCTGCATGAAGCTACATCTGTCTTCTGTGTGCCCTGTGGTTTAGATCACAGTAAATACCTCCCATTCCCACCCTAATCATGAGTGGGCTGAGGGAAATGGACAATGCATGTAGAGAAGTGTGGTTACTATGTATTTTTTAAAAATATATAATATACTTAACACTATGGTAGTTCTGAAAGGGTGCCTTCTTCCTTGAACTGGAGTTGGTGTATGTTTGGGAAAAGAAACATAATAAAATCTAAAACAAAGCATGTTAGACTTTCTGCATTTTGAGTGACAAGAGTGTGTCTGATACTTAACATTAAGCTCCCGAGCCTTCTGATTTTAATGCAAGGATGTTGTGCTTCATTTTGTGATTTGCAGATCTATCAAAATTAATTTTGCAAATAAATGTTTAGGATAAATCCCATTTTTCCTTTTTCTTCTTGTAAAGGACACAGAAGCCATGAAAAGAGCATTGGCCTTAATAGATTCCAAGATGAACCAAGCCAAAGGTTGGCTTAGGGATCCCAGTGCTCCGGCAGGTAATAGTTACATCTGTGTTTATGGTGATCAAAAATAGACAAAACTGTGTGCAAGGCTGCATGCAGTGTGTGACATTAAAGTGAAGAATTCTGCAACCAGAGAAACTAAATGATGCGACCTGTTTGAATTAGGCAGATTTTTATTTTGTATAATTTATTCTGCTTTTGTGAATATTTAAGGGGCCAACATTCACAACATTGAAGTTCCATTCCACTTACTGGAAATCCTGGTCTATCCCTTTTCTCCTCCAAATATTGACATTATCTCAAGCTTTGTTTGAATCCATAAGGGTTGGAGGTTTTAAAAACATTTATTCTTAAAATGAAAGCTAGGATTACTGGACTGCAGAATTATGAGCTCAGTATAAAAATCCAGAAGAGGTTTGTTTGCTCAGTTATTAACTATGTAAAGCCATAATTTACCTTTTAATGTTGTGCTTTAAATGAAAGCTTTTAGGGGCTATGCCTTAAAATATTAACATAAAGCAAATTGACTCTATTCTAACTGGCTTAGAAAACTTTGCTTGTTTTATCAGGTCATCCTATCTTTTTAGTTCAGAACCTGCCTTAAATTAGTATTCTGGTTACTGCAGTTCTGCTTGGCAAGATTTTGCATAATTATTTACTGTGCTAGCTTAGCTCTGATGTTAAGAAACATGTTGTACATTGCAATAAAAACATACAGGAATGAAACTCCATAGAAGAAATTAATGCTGGCTCTGCATCTTGATACCAGATTCCTACAAGCTTTCAGAAGATTTTTACCTGTATCTAGCTCACTGTGATTGATCAGAAATCTTGTAAAATATGTGTTGTGCATTATCTGTTGCTGTCACTGTTTAACTATGAGACTGGAGGGGGAGCTATCCCAAACAGCATGACAGTACTCCATACAAGAAATCCATGAAAAAAATAAATAAAGTGATGTTCTTTTTTGTGCAGTCATCTGACGGAAGAACGCTGTTGAAGAAAAAATAAAAATTGCCTGCAATATTCTCGGCTGTTACCTTTCCCTTTTTATTGACATTAATATTGATTTACAATGATACGCATCATGCTTAATGATATGCCTATTGCTAGAATAGTATCATCCTGCTGGAAGATACTATTAAACCGGATTATGTTTCTTGTACAGCGCATTCTTTGTCCTTCCTGCACTGAATGTTTGTTAGTTTCTGATACGACTAGTAATTCCCTGAATAAATAATGTATGGGTCTCATTGTCCATATCCTTACCTTTTTGCTCTCCTAGGAGACGCTGGTGAACAAGCCATAAGGCAGATCCTGGATGAAGCAGGAAAAGTTGGAGAGTTGTGTGCAGGCAAAGAACGCAGAGAGATTCTGGGAACATGCAAAATGCTAGGCCAGTTGACTGATCAAGTAGCCGACCTTCGTGCTAGGTAAATGCCCTCTTCCTCCTAAATACATTTGGTGCTGTGTTTGTGAAATAGCCTTTAAAAACAGGGTATGTTTTGAGGGTCAACATGAATGAGGGATTACACATTGTTTTTTCTGTGAGTTATCCAGGCCTACCTTCATCTCTGTCTACCTTTCAAAGGCTTATGGAGAATTTCTGTAATTAGACGTGCATGGTTTGCTCTGATCAAGATTTTTTATTTTGTTTTAATGCCAAACTCTGTCTTCCTTTCCAGAAAACCTCTGTTGATAGGGAAGGGTGCCCATTAGAACACTTGAGTGTTCTTCTAGCATCTCATATTGGGCACAGTTGCATCAGTATTCTTTTTCACAAATGGAAGGGGCCCATCTTTCTAATGTAGATGTTAGTGTGCAATGTTTTTAATTCATTCAATGGTACACAGACTTCTCCCATTTTTTTTAAAAAAAGATGTTTACATAGACATCCTTTGACTTCTTATTAAAACCTAATTTGGGGATGAGAGTTGTGGCTTAATTGTCCATGTGCCTCATTTAAAACCTGGTTCTCTTGTCATCTTTGTTTAAAGGTCCTTCTATCTTGAATTTTATATTGGCATTACACACGTGCAGCAACATTGACACTTTTTGGCTTGCCTTGCTTACCGTTCTGTAGTCCGTTTGCCAGGAAACCCTTTGCTCCCCCAAATCACCTCTGAGCATTATGACCTTTTGAGCTGGCAGAAATCAAAGTATCTGCATGATGGCTGCTTTTCTGGAAGAAACCAGTTAAAAGCAAATTCTGCACATCTGATGCATGCTCTGAAATGCTCAGTAGAAAGATGGGTGACTCCTCCCTTCTCTTGAGTTAAGCGGGGATGTTCAGATGTTGTCCAGAGCAGGCTCAGTAGCTAAGAGCTTCAGGGAACATGTCATTTAGCACTTGTTGAGGGAGTAGGTTTGTGGTGATATCACTGTGCTACGTAGAAAGAGATGGTCGCCCTTTTGCCTCTCTGTTTTGAAGAGACCCTTTGTATCAGGGTCTCTTCAGAACTTGTTTTCTAATTAAGTTGTCTGTTTGCTTGAAATATTGTGTTTGAACGCGTGACTTATTGGTAGGAAGCCATCAGCCTTCCCAAACCGGGTTGTTGATCAGTCAGTTATTCAGCAGTTTTCTGTGGCAACACTTTATGGGCTAAATCAAGTTACTGTTTCCAACTAGACAGACCCACTGACCAAATGGAACTTACTAAGTCAGTACTTAGGTAAATGTTATTGATTCAGTTGGTTTACTCTGAATTTAGTCTTGCATCTCTGTAAGCAAGAGGCAAGAAGATACTTTACTTAGCATTTTGTCCTGTTCAGAAGTATAGGCACATGCATTTCTCCTTATAGCTGGCTCTTCTATGGCAGGAAGTAACATACACTTAATATTTGTTAGTAACTTTCAAGTGAAGAGATTGCAGTAAAAACAAAAATGGCTGAGGTGGGAGTAATCAGATCCTCTGCCCCACTTACTGTGGTTACCAGGATCTTTCTCCTCCATTCCAAAGTTCTCATTTCCTGTTGTATAGTTCAGTTGCTCCTACTAATGTACATGGAACCAGGTTGACAGGGTTATTCAGGCAATTTGTAGGAACTAACGTTCCTCCATTCCAAAGTTCTCATTTCCTGTTGCTCCTACTGATGTACGTGGAACCAAGTTGACAGGGTTATTCAGGCAATATGTAGGAACTAATGTCTCTCTCCTCCTCCAAACAGAGGACAAGGTGCTACACCACTAGCCATGCAGAAGGCTCAGCAAGTGTCCCAAGGACTGGATTTGCTGACAGCAAAAGTGGAAAATGCAGCTCGTAAGCTGGAGGCCATGACCAACTCTAAGCAAGCGATTGCAAAAAAAATAGATGCGGCTCAGGTACTCACAGTGCTCTCTTGAATTCTGTTGAATGTTTATGGGTTCATTAAAGTCTACTCTTCTTGTACCAGGCCTTCTTCCTTCAGTAGTTTTTAGATTTATTTCAGTCAAAGCCACATAGTAAGCTCCAATCCTGCTTGGGATTTGTTTTGGGTAGTTAAGTAAATTTCTTTTGCACTATGAGCTGAACTTCCACATCATATCCTTATTTGTCTTGAAGGGTAGTTGTTTGTACAGTGAGATTTTGTTTCTGGGGTTCACATGTTTTCTCTTTAACATGAAACTAGTTTAGCTGTGTTCTGACATGGCTGAAATTTCTCTTGTGATAGTTTGTAACTTTCAAGCATGTATGTTTTTTAAAAATAAGAGCTCTATCGTAACTGATTTGAGACTCTTACTCGTTCGTCCATTTCTTCCAAGAACTTAATCTAAAGCAGTTTTTATGAAATGAATTTTTTAAAAATTATTAATTTTAAATACACTGTGCCCTTTGACATAAATAAAGCTTTAGAAATACCATATGCTAAAAAAATGGGTCTGCTGCAGTCTTTGTCTTATGATGAGGAGCCTTGTATGTGAATGTATCTGGGAGGGTAATCATTTGGAAAAGGTCGGTTCAGACCACAGAGGTGTTTGGTATTATGAATAAATGGTTCAGTCAAATGCTGTTATGTGTTTCTTTATGTGAAGAGCTGGCTAGCAGACCCTAATGGAGGCAGTGAAGGAGAAGAACACATTCGAGGCCTCATGGCTGAAGCTAGAAAAATTGCAGAAATGTGTGATGACCCCAAAGAGAGAGATGATATTTTGAGGTCTCTGGGAGAAATTTCTGCTCTGACTGCTAAACTGTCAGACCTCCGGAAACAGTACGTGTTATCATTAACTGATCTAATATGCCTTTTTTGGTTTGTTTGTTTGCTTGCAGTGCCAGAGCATTGTTTCTGTGTAAATTCCATTGCTTTAGAGTTGTCGTGACTCTACTTACAGAAGTTGGGTACTATATATACTCTGCCTATTTTTTTGTCCCCCTTAATTCCTGGAATTCTGTTGCCTGAAGAAAAAGCAGAGCAGGTTAAAGACAAGCATTGTGCTCCCAGAAGCCTCCAGGATGGGTCATTTTCCTCTAAAGCAAGGCACATGTATTTTATTCAGCCCAAAAGTGAACTTTAAAAAAAGTGTGAAGAGGCTTGGTTTCTAGACCTGCCAAAGATGCACACCCATGCTTTATAATCTGCCCTATGATTTCATCGATTACTGTTGTTTCTGTCTTGCATTTGCTTTCCATCAGTAGGCCCCTGTGGGTAGGAGAGAATCAGTGGGGATATTCACAACAGAGGCTTCTCTTTTGATAATAATGAGAACAGTAGTTTTTGGGGAAGAGATTTCAGATATCATTCTCTGCACTTGGGATATGGCATACCAGGATTAGTTGAATGAAATCTTGACAGTTTGCAGTACAAATAAGGTATGCTTCTAGTGTCATAGTGGACTCTGCCCCTTTAAATGTGTCAGATGTGGTCATCAGTAATGTTACTGCTCAGCTGTTGTGAGTGATCAGATCAAAAGCAAACCTTCAATTGGGCTCCCACACCTATTCATTCATTCATTCATTTTATTTATTTATTGTCTCCTATTATGTGCTTTCCCCAAACATGGTGGTGCTAAGATTCCATTGGAATCCCGTTCACTATTAAGAAGCTGTTCAGGGCTTCATAGTCACGAAGTTGTTAGGTTATAGGATTGGAGTCTTTAATTACTAAAACTCACTGCCCCCAGTGAGATTGTCTGACCAGCAGCTATTCTAAGTAGCTTATTCCCTCTCCTGCACCCAATGACTTCCAGGAGATGCAAGTGATTCCACAGGAGTATTGGGACTTAAGAAGAAGAAATTGGAAATCTTTCCAAAATTGCTGTGGTTGATGGCATGGTCAGCCATATGTAGCATAACTTAGCGGCAACATGATTTCAGCACAGTCTTATGTTATTAAATATGGTTTATGGCCTTTGTGAAACAAAATTAATGAGAGATTAGGATTGTAACCAAGTGGTTCACTTCTATTGCACTTAAATGTTGTCCTTCTTACAAAAAACAATTTACTATATGTATTTCACAGGGATTGCTTAATCGTGTTTCTCTCCTCTGCAGTGGGAAAGGAGATTCTCCAGAAGCTCGTGCATTAGCCAAGCAAATAGCTACCTCCCTTCAGAATTTGCAGTCTAAAACCAACAGGGCTGTTGCAAACAGTCGGCCTGTCAAGGCAGCTGTCCACTTGGAAGGCAAAATAGAGCAAGCTCAGAGATGGATAGACAATCCTACAGTTGATGACCGTGGTGTAGGTAAGCCTTTTTGTGTCTCTTCCTAGATTTTTTTTTTAAAGTACAGTTTAATTTTTAAAAACACTCAATCCTGTGGAACATTTGAGTGCAGTAGGTCCAGATACCCAGGTCCTCTTTCTAGCATATACCGCAATTTGACAATGTACCATGTGAAGATATTACTCCACTTTTCTGTTCTGCATCCCTCCTCATTCAGCTTCATTGGATGACCCCAGCTTCTACTGTTAGATCAAGGGAGAAAAAGCCTTACTTTTTTCACTTGCTCCATGTCCTACATAATTTCATTTACATTGCTCATGTCCCCTTTGCTTTTTTCTAAACTAAAAAACCCCAACTGTTGCAGTGGGAGTTGCCAGTTAAGCATTAAGCCACAGTTGTGGGGGTCCTATAAGAAATTTGCTTAAATAAATACGAGTATGAAACAAATTATATCTTGAAATATCTATAGCCACATATTTCAAAGAGACCGGAATGTTCCTCACTTGCATTTATTGATGCACTGTATAACATCCTACCCTTTCTACCTCCCTTCCTCATTGCTATGCCTCCATTGCTTTTAAGGAGCAGGTTTGGAAGGAACTGATAGTAATCTAGACTTTAGGTATTGCAGCTAAGAAATAACTCTCTTCATCAAGTTACAGGAAGTAAGGTCAGCTTGCTGTGTTTTACTTGGACCAAGGCATGTCAGGAGCCAAGTTCACTTGAGACACAACTCAGTGCTGTATATCTGGACTGACGCAAGGAGAGCCAGACATATTGCTTGAGCGGCTGCTGCTGAGAGTGATTCCAACATGAAGGCACCTGTTCTGCCATAAATATAATAGAAACCGTTTATGACTCGGCTAGACTAGAAAAACAACTGTAGAACTACTGTTATTATCAAGATACAACTGGAACTTTAACTGATAAGTGTTATAGTGTAGTGGCTGAGAGCACAGATGACAATCTTGATGGTTTAGGGTCAAGTCTCACATCACCAGAGCCCTACTAGGTGGTCCTAGGAAAAACATGTTTTGCTCACTCTATGCACCACTCCATCTGCAATATGGGAAAATAATAATGGTTTACACAGCAAGATTATTGTAAGGATCACTGAGGTTGTATATGTGAAACACTCTTGAGAAAGCACTCTATAGATAATGATTTTGTGTGTTTACGGTTTTGTTACTGTTATCCCTCAATGGTGTTAACCATGCTTTGAATTTTTTTGGATGGTAAATCTGGAGATCCGTTTGTCATAGCTCATGAATAAAGCAAGCTGAATAACATTTGATGCAGGCCAGGCTGCAATCCGGGGACTGGTGGCTGAAGGTCGCCGTCTTGCCAACGTCATGATGGGACCTTACCGTCAAGACCTGCTTGCCAAATGTGACCGTGTAGAGCAGCTGGCTGCCCAGTTAGCAGACCTGGCAGCGAGAGGTGAAGGAGAATCGCCACAAGCCAGAGCAGTTGCTGCACAGCTGCAGGACTCATTGAAGGTAAAGAGGAGGAGTTCTCCCTGTTGAATAAAGGGCTACCTGTCAATATGCAGAACTAGCTGAACAGAAGGACCCTCATTAATAATATTGCAGCAACTTCTATAACTACAGCAGGCCACGGGCATAATAGCTTTGACTCCAGTCTTACATCCTTTGCTGTTGTGCCACCCCTCTCTTAATTTTAATTTGCTCGCATTCTTCTACTTGCCTCCAACCACTGGCTCCTGGCCACTTCCTAGTTCAGGTCCACCTTGCTCCAAATCTAGGGCAAGTGACACCTTCATCCTTCAAAAGCAGAGGTAGAAAAAGTCAAGAGGACACCTGGCACTCCTCGACAGGTTTGTGTATACAAAGCTAATCCGGTTCAGTGTTGATCTCTCCCATCAATAGCTACCTCTTGTTACTTTTTTAGCCTTCGTTTTAAAAGAACTTCTGTTCTTTTCTGATACTTTCTCTGTAGTGTTGTAGATTGGGAATATAAACTGGAATGGCCCATGCAGCTGAATGATGCTGCACGAGTAACTGTGGGAAAGAAGCATATGTAACAACTGACTTCATCACCATCACAGTCTTCCTCAGTTCATTGTCTATGGTCTATGAGATGACCATGGAGGATGTGCTATGAGCAGAGGATGCACATAGGATGCTGCAGCTATCATAGATAATATCCATTCCAGTCATCACCATTTCAGTGTCTGAAGTTAGGTTGAAACCCCCCCCACTTCCTTAAAATTGCCCTTAATGTGTTCTTTAGCTTCAGTTTCATGGCTGAACATGATTCAAAACTGGCTTACCGTATTTTTCGCACCATAAGACGCACTTTTTCCCACAAAACAGGGGGGTGGAAAGTCTGTGCGTCTTATGGAGCGAAGAAAACAGATTATATTTTCCTGTTTTCTTCTCCTAAAAAATTGGTGCGTCTTATGGAAAGGTGCGTCTTATGGAGCGAAAAATACGGTATCTATTTCCATAGCCAGAATTCTGCTTTCAAATCATGTATTGTCATACCATATTGATAAAAGCATTCTCATGTGTTATTTCCTAATTTATGTTCAGGATCTTAAATCAAGGATGCAAGAAGCGATGACTCAGGAGGTATCTGATGTGTTTAGTGACACAACAACTCCAATCAAACTCTTGGCAGTAGCTGCCACTGCTCCTCCAGATGCACCCAACAGAGATGAGGTAAGTCTGTGTCTAGTGATTTCCTATATTCAGCAGCAGACAACACTGCATTTTGGTGTTATTTTAACTCTCATCTGTGTGTATTGCTTTTATATAATGAGGAACAAAAAAGCACTTTTAACATAGCAAAGAATTTAGGTTAACAAGTTTATTTAGCTACCATAATTACAATTCAATTTACGGATGCACGAAGTGTAATTGTAGAGGTCCAGGCATATTTGCACATTGAACATGGTTGGCATGAGATCACAACAAGTTGGATGCAGATGGGTGATGTAATAACACTTTTTAAATACTTGAAAGGCTGTCATACAGAGGAGGAGCAGGATCGGTTCTCCATCATCCCAGAGTGCAGGAAACACAACAATGGACTCAGTTGACGGATTTCAGTTGAATATCAGGAAAAACTTCCTAACTTTTAGAGCAATACGACAGTGAAACCATTTCCCTCGAGAGGTGGTGAGTGCTCCAACAGTGGAGTCATTCAGGATAAACGTAGACAACCACCTGTCAGATATTCTTTGATTTGTATCTCTGCATCAAGTAGGTGGTTGGATTTGATGGCCTTATAGGCCCCTTCCTACGTCACTGTTCTGGTTATGCATCCGTCAGTCTTGAGAGACTATGGTAATGTGCTCTGTATGGAGGACTTGGAACAGCATCTAGTGTGGCTGAGAAGGCCAATTCGAGAGTGACAATCCCTTCCATACTGAAGACAAATAAAATCTGTCCCCTGTCCAGCTCCCTGATTTTGCTGGTTTTGGCACTGCCTCTTTGCCTCGGCCTGCTGGACAAGGGTCTCTTCAAAATGGGAGAGGCCATGATGCACCGCCTACCTCCAGGCTGAACGCTCAGATGTCAGGGTTTCCCATTTGTTGAGGTCCATTCCTAAGGCCTTCAGATCCCACTTGCTCCTATCACATCTCCCTCTGGGGCGATTTCCCTGCACTAATTCTCCATACAGGAGATCTTTTGGAATCTGATCATCAGCCATTCTCACGACATGCCCAAGCCAATGTAGACATTGCTGTTTCAATAATGTATACATCCTAGAAATTCCAGCTCGTTCTAGGACTACTTTTTTCTATGATTCTGTGAAATGGTGTTATTGTCATTAGGCCAAAGTAGTGAAAGGTACATGTTTTAAGAACTCTGTAGATGATATTGTTTTATATGTAGTTAGATTGGTCTGGAATTCAGATTGAAGCATGCCAGGGACTATAAACTTCGGCTTGCAAATCAAACAAGTCAAAATACATAACTCTCATGGATTGCTCCTGACCTATCCCTGAAAAGGAAATTACTGTTGGGATGCACCAGACCCACTAAAGGGCCACCTGCACTCGGTCAGAGAGTCCAACAGGCTGCCTACCTACCACCTTTGTTCTGGGGCAAGTCCCAAGACCTCAGCAGTGTGTAGTGTAAGCCCTTTGAACAAGTCTGACCTTAAAAGAACACTTTACTCTTAACCAGTACTTTGCAAGTACAGATACATTGGCTTTGTGATTCCTTAGAACTCACTAAAGCTCAGTTAGGTAGGACTCTTAAAAGATAGCTAGTTTGTGGCCCTCTCCGCCTCCTGGATTTAGCTGGACCCTGCTGTTCAAGAGACCAGTTGTGAATGGGTTCGTTTCCCACCAAGGGCGGCCCCTCTGAAGGCGCAGCAATAAGGGTAGGAGGCTGATTGGTAACTTGAACAGTTTCCTTTTTATTTAACAAACTTTCTCATTCTACAGCTTCGAACAGGTCCGTCAAGCTTAATTCAGGCAAAACTTTATAACTTTTAACTCTCAACTCTGGCGTCGTCCACGCACTTCTTACATCGGGGCTGGCCCAAACCTCTCGCGATCCGTCATCGGCCTCAGTGGTGTGGTCCTGACCGCACATATAGTCCCACAACAGGGATGCCTCGCCCAGTCCCCCTCGCGCGGCTGCTGTTGTACCAAAAAGGGACTGGGACGAATCACCTTCCGTTCCCCCAAGGTAGTTGCGGGGGTAGACGACCACTGTCCATTCTAGAGCATTCAGTTCTCCCTCTCCAACTCTCTTCCCTTCCGGATCCGGCAACAATCCCCCTTCGGTGCGAAGGTTGGGAAACTCCTTCAGTAGCCCAGCCAAATTCTCCAGTTCTATCATAGGCTCTGTCTGTACCGCCTTTTCCACCTTCTCCCCTGGTGGTTCTACCGTTATCTGAAAAGCCCGCACATTTCCCCCCTCACTTCGGACCTCCTCCCATGTGATTAAATCTTGCTCCGCCCCCTCTTCATCAGCCAGGCAGACCTCTTAATGCCTGTCTCTCTGTTTGTCCTTCGGTCTCAATCTCTACTAGAAACTCCCTCCACACAGCCACGGTCCTCTTCGGGCGCCGGCACCTGGGAGGACGGCACACTAGCTGCTTCCTGCTCACACCAGTCCTTTGGTAGAATTTTTATAATTAATTTTTATTAGAAAAATAGAATTTCATTAGAAATCAGTTTATATTGCACAAGCTTTAGCATCAAGAACATATTCAAAGGTCATTGCAGTTGAATAAAATAACTATTTCCCATTAAAAATAATAAACACTAATAAGCTAACCAAGGTGGGCCCCACCTCCTTCCTTCTCCTTTACTTACATTTTCTCTCAATCAAGTTTATTTATCTCCCCTCATCATGGAATCAAAATCTAGATCAGAACAACAACGAATCATTGAACCACTTTCACATAACCCATTGTCCATTTTCTACCTTCTCTAACTCCTCCCTCCTTCTTGACACTTCTAGCTGTTAACCAATTACCCTCAAGAGGCTGTACCACGTTCCTCCTCCCTTTATTCCCATGAGGGTCCAGATGCTGTTTATCTCTTCTCCAATTAGCTTGGAATGTTGAGTCTTCCACGGGCCTCTCAATTTGGCCTTCATAACTAGCTCGAACCAGGCTGTAACGGTCTTCAGAAAAACGCTCTCATGGCAAACACATTCCAATATCTTTCAAATCATCTTCACACAGAACCTGTCTGACTCCATTTTACATTTCTCTGACTACATATCCCATCATCATGACAATCATATTTTTCTGTGTATAATACGCCCCCATGTATAAGACACCCCCCCACTTTTTTAATCCAGAATTTCTTTCTTATCAAGAAAGTGGATGGGGAAGGCAGGGATCAAAGTGTTTGATTCCTGCTTTTCCCCTCCACTTTTTTTGTAAAGAAAGTGCTTTTCCCCTCCTCTTTCTTCAGAAGAAAGTGGAGGGGGAAAACAGGAATCATCAAAGTGATTCATCAAAGCGATTCCTGCTTTCAAAGTGCCTTGATTCCTGCTTTCCCCCTTCACTTTTTGCGAAGAAAGTGGAAGGGGGAAAGCACTTTCCTCGTAAGAAAGTGCTTTCTTGTGAGGAAACTGGAGGGAGAAAGCACTTTTCCTCACAAGAAAGCGCTTGCTTTTCTTGCAAGAAAGTGCTTTCTTGTGAGGAAAGTGGAGGGGGAAAGCACTTTCCTCGCAAAGCACGTTGATGATTCCTCCTTTCCCCCTCCACTTTCTAGTGAGGAAAGTGCTTTCTCCCTCCAATTTCATCAGAAGAATGGAAGGGTGGTGCTGGAGGTGCTGTGCACACCTGGGAAGTACAGTACAAGTTTCAGGGTGATGACTACCCACTTCCTCTGCTTGAAGCTCAAGAAGAGGGCTGAAATTGATCTCTCTTGTGCTGAATGTTAGAGGCATTCCCAGAAGATTTGGAAGCAAAAGACAACATGTTTTGCAAACCCGTTAATTGCCCTCTTGAATCAGTATGAGGGATACAAAGTTGTCCTTAAGGTTGTGATGCCCCTGTTATTCCACTGTGAAATCCAGCATTACCATGACAGGTGCAAGGAATGTATTTGTGGATCTCAAATTTCTGATAAAGGCTGAGTGAGCTTCGAAGGGCTTCCCCTCCCCATGCTGCTGTGCCATATGGCCATGTGTTGCTCTGGAGAAGCAGGAGGGTAAGGAAAGACAAGTGAGCTTCACGCTCTAAAGAGGCAAAGAGAGCTGAGGCAAATAAGAAAGAAGCAGCTGAAAAAGCTGTGGTGAATGTTGAGGTGGGCAGGTCTAACTCATTTAATTGTTTAAGCCAGTGATGCTTGTAGAGCTAAGCCCGAACTGTCCTGGTTGTTTCTGTTAAGGGGAAAATATGTAATATTTTAGGATTTGCCCAAGTTCCCAAATTTGTAAATCAAGCCAGAATTTTGGCTTGGATTGCTAGTCCAGGGGATATACTCTGCTTGATGTGTGTGTGAACCGAGTACACGGGAAAGTGTAATGATCTAAAGTGACAAGAATGCTCTGTTGGCATTGACCTGTTTGCACATATAGTTGAAAGAGGTACACATGTGAATCGGCAGCTAGTGCTAGCAAGAGGAATTTATGCTATGCTAATTAATTACCGTACTTTTCCGTGTATAAGACGCCCCATGTATAAGACACTCCCCCCCCCACTTTTCTAACCCAAAATTAAGAAATCTAAGTGGGGCATGGCAAATGTAGGGTAAAAAGGATCAAAGTGCTGCAGGATGGCTTTGATCCCTGCTTTCTACCTTTGTGCTAAGCCCCGCGTGGCTTAGCAAAAGGAGGGGAAAAGGGATCAAAGCAGTTCCATGACTGCACAATCATTTTGATCCTTTTCCCCCTTATACAGCCATGGGATTGCTTTGATCCTTCCCCCCCCTTTTGCTAAGCCCCATGGGACTTAGCAAGGAGAGGGGAAAGCAGGGATCAAAGCGATCCTGCAACACTTTGATCCCTGCTTTCCTTTTGCTAAGGCTTAGCAAGTGGAGGGGAAAGCAGGGATAAAAGCCCTGCAGGATCACTTTGATTCCTTCTTTCCCCTCCACTTCTTTTTTTTTTTTTGCCTCAGCTTACTTCCGTGTATAAGACGACCCTCAATTTCTAGTCTAAAGATTTTAGACGAAAGTATAGTCTTATACAGGGAAAAATACGGTAATTAATTTTTTAAATATGCCACAGTTTAGCCCTTTCAGTTAAATCCAGTTTTTGTAATAAAAGCACCATTGCTTCATTTGGGTTTAGGTGTATGGGTTAGGGATCCAACCTCTGGAAATCCTGATTTCACTTTTTAAAGTATTCTAAAGTATTCATTTAAAGCAGTTATTTCTTGCTCATCTCTCAGGTATTTGATGAAAGAGCAACCAACTTCGAAAACCATGCTGCCCGACTTGGTGCCACTGCAGAAAAAGCAGCTGCTGTTGGAACCGCCAATAAGAGTACAGTGGAAGGCATACAAGCGACTGTGAAGTCAGCAAGAGACCTCACACCTCAG